TGGGGGGAGGAGCGGGACTGACCCCGTCATATGTAGATTTCGGGGCGCTCCCCCCCCCGCCCGGAAAGCATGAGTGAGTCCGGCCTGGGGATTCTATTGTGTCCCTGACCCCCATCCCCTTGAGTAGTTGCGAACTGGCTGGATGGTAGACACACTCATGCAGCCTGAGCACATTTAGCAGCCAGGCAATTCGAAACTACAAACTGATACATCTAGTAATAATAAAATGTACCTAATGAGAAAATATCAGACGTGTTATATGTCTGGTATTTTCTCAGTTTGTTTTTTATGTGTTTATATTTTTAGGATGCAAAAAACAGTACTGAAAAAAAAAGGGTTCCAACTAAAGTAAAAAGTTTGGGAAACCCTGGTCTAACCAGTTTTCTGTCCATCTTACACTCCATTTACCCAATCCATATTCTTTAACTTGATGGCAAGAATATTGTGGGTGACCATATCAAAAGCTTTGCTAAAGCTGACACTGGGGGCTTTGGGGCCAGAAACAACTTATTTGAATATCAATCATTTGATTAATGAATATGCAAATATGCAAATGAATATTACCGGTCCTCCAAAAGTTCATGAATGGATTTACCGGTCCCCGTGTCAAAAAGTTTGGGAACCCCTGTGATAGACCATGATACTCAATATTTTATCTTACTTTTTTCAATGTGTGCTGCTTCCCCTCGCCCCCTTCCCAATTATTTACTGCACACTATTCAAATCCTGGCTTTGAACATAGTATTATTTATTTCTTCATTAAGTTTTCTGTGTTTCTAATCACTAATATCTGAGTATTTCACAAACATTAATTTAATTTCATAACCTCCCTTCAAGATTAGAGAGTGGTATTACCCCTCTCCCATTTTGCACATGGGGAACTGAGGAACAGAATTATTAAGGTCAGAATTATCCACTAATTTTGAATGCCCATTTGATGTACTTAGGGCCTGATTTTTCAATGCATTATATAGCAGAACACCTTCAAAGACCTTATTCAAATAACACCTTCTGCTGACTTCTGTGGCAGCTGAGAGTGATCAGTATTTCCACAAATCAGGGCCCTTGGTTTCATTTTGGGCCTTCAGTAAATAAGGAACACGTAATTAGTGATAAACAATGAAAAGTTTGGTTAAGCGACATGCCTGCCATCACACTGGAGCAGAGGCAGGGATATAAGCTCATTCTCTAAGATAGCATTCAACATCCTTAACCATGAAACTATCCTCTCTATCCCTGCTTTCCCTGCTTTATTCACTGCACCCCTTCCAACTTCCACAACAAATGAGGCAGGAGTTGTACAGACAACAGCCTCCTTTATGTATAACATCAAATCATTCCCATAGCAGGTCCACCCTGTGCACTGAATGGGAAGGAGTCCTGTGGAAATAATCATATGTGATCATATGATTAGACCAGTGGTCTCCAAAATTTTTACACCCAAGATCACTTTTTAAATTACAGACCAAGCCAAGATCTACTGCCCCGCCCCTTCCTTGAAGCCCCGCCCTCTCTATTCTCCTCCTCTCCATCACTTGCTATCCCCAATCCTTATACTGCTGCTTATTTTTTTTTTATTATTATTATTCTTTAGGAAGAGGGTTTTCCAACATTTGGCCTGTCTACATTGGACCAAATGTCAGAAAAAAAAACCTTCTTTTGGAAAAGAGGAATATAGGGGTGACCAAAAGAGCCTGTTTGCTCTTCCACTAAAAAAGCGGAAGAACAAACGCAACCCTGGATACAGAAGAGTTTTTCTGGGATATCTCCAGAATCCTGAAAAACTCCTGCAGTCTAGCTGGACCCTTGCTGTGTTGAGACAGGATGTGTAGGCTCTGGGGTGGGAATGAGGGATTTGGGTGTGGGAAGGGGTGAGAGGTGCAAGCTCTGGGAGGAAATCTGGATGCAGGAGGAGGTGGAGAAGGGGACACTGGCTCAGGGAGGGGGCTCCAGGCTAGGCAGTGTTGGGATACTAAGGAAGCCACAGGCTTGTGGATGTGAGGGTGCAGGAATTTGGGTTGGGGTATGTGAGGGGCTGAGGGCATGAGGTTCCAGTGTTTGATAGGCTCAGATCTAGGGTCTGAGGAAGGGGGAGTGTAGGAGTGGTTGTGGCCAGATGGGGGCTTGGCCCCAATTGGGGGTTTGTTGGCCAGGCTTCATTTTTAAATAGAATACTATGTTAAACACAAAAAGTTTCTGCATTGTCTTTATTTATGAGAATGGCAGGGAACCTACCTTGAGTCAGGGGTCACTGACCCATAGAGAAGTCATTTGGGAGCAGGGGACACAATACTGGGGAGGGGTGCTAGTGGGTTCTGGGACAGGGAACAGGGTGCCAGTGGGGGCAGGGGAG